AACCTACCCAAAAAGAAAGATTTTTGTCAATTCTATAAAAAATGAATAAACCCAAATAAGGTTCATAATTTGAACTAAACAAGCATTTCAATTCTATAACTGGAATCAAATTCATTCCTGTTCAGATGAACGGTATGATTATTATTGATGAATTGTCATTAATTTTACCCGAGGAATTAAAATAAAATGGAAATAGATTACTTGTAATGAAATATTATCCGATTGTTTGTGTTGTTGATTGGTTGATTGTGAACGATTTGTTAGCAATATCATTATGGCATGCTGTATTGATTGATTTGAATATTTTTCGATTTTAAACCTGAAATAGAAAATATTCATTTATATTATTTTTGTCAGCAAACTTTCAAAGTGTTTTTTACAAACAAAAAAAAAAATTAGTTATTGGAGGAAATTTGTATATTATGAACCAAAAATTGGATTGTTTCAATAATTAATTAAATTAGTATTTGTGTAATGTTACCGTTTAATTTATCAATTTCGATATTACTTTCCAAATAATCATAATTATCAGCAGTTATACAAATGATGCAAAAATTGAATGTAAGCATATTAGCCATCATCATTGATAAACAAATGGTTGTGAGAAGTAAAACAATAATTCGATAACCGATCATTATTATCTAAAATTGATAATTACTTTTACTACTAATCATTTTAATGCTAACTTTCTGAAATTACTTAAATAAATTGTTAAGAATATCAAGATTATGTATAAGATGACGATAAATCAAGTGCGGAACAATGATTACTAAACTATGATAAGATATGCATATTTATCATCTTATCATCATTTCCTTATTTTTTTGCATCCAATTTTATCTTTTATCACATGATACATGTGTAATTGCCAATTTTTATGTTAAGAATAAAATTTACACCAAATATCATTCAAAATAAACATAACCGAATTGGAAACAAAAATTTTATAAAATAAATTTTCATATTATTTTATAATACAAAAAAAAACATATTTAAGCATTTTTTCGAAGAAATAAGAAAAAAAGAAATAAAAAAAAGTGAAATTATAAAATTTCTAAATAAATTTGTCTAAATTTTAGCATAAATATCAGTCAATTAATATGTAAAATTTTTTAGTTTATAAAACCAATCAAATGTTTATGTAAGGAAAATAACAATTACATTTGAATGGTATTTCTTTATGAAATATGCATTCATTGATAATAACAAATACGTGGAAAATTTTCGATCACAACGAAGAATCTATTTTTTTCTTCTTTAAATATTTATTTACAAAACAAACAAATGATGTACCATGATGTAACACGACGTGACATGACGTGACGTGACGTGAGACGAAATATTGCGTAATAAAAAGTAATGGAATAAAATATTTGACTATGATGCATTCTTTCCAATGTTTTTCAAACTTTTCTATACCAATATTTTCTTTTTCGGTTTCTTTGATCTTATTAAAATGACATTTTTAAGTGGATAATTCATCTTAAATTTCATTAAAATTAAAAAAGGAAAAAGAAATTGCGCAATGAAGATCAAAGAATACCCAATAATAAACGGATATGCAAATTAACATATAACATTCCTTTCAGTTATTTATTAATTAATATAAACTATTTTTTAAAATTTCTATTAAAGTAGAAAGGATCAATTTTTAGGTCATTTCCTAGATGTTGCATTCATTCAATACGGTTGGTTCATCCTAATTTTGTGTTCATCTCTACCGGCAAATATCATGTTGGATATGCTTGTTGAGAAATTCAAACATTACATGGAAATATTTTTCACTCAATTTCAATTTGATATTGAATGAAATTGTTTAAAACTATAAACTAAGGTGGAGACCAAAATGAAAAATAACTTTGGTGTAGCTACAGTAGTTCTAGCAGTTCCTAAGCATACAAAATCAAATGGCATAGAGAATATCGGGGATTAAAATCCCAAATACAAAAATCAAACATTAAATCTCCTAATATATCCTTTTAGTTTATTTTCAAATATATAAATATAAAAACTATCATCTCTCTTCTTTTTTTCCCCAATAAATTTAAATAAATCCGGAAAAATATTATCAAGTTCCAGAATTAGCACGAATTGATGTCCGGCGAGAATTCATTACCATTTTTTCATGGTGCTTTATTGGATGATGATGCTGATAAAATGCTAGAATTAAATGGTGATTTTTTATTACAAACTAAATTTGAACAAAGTAAAAAGAAAAATAAATTGGTACTGGCCATTAAACATGGACATCGAACAATCAGAATACCAATTTCTCGGCTTGAAAAAGGATATCGCATATTTGTATGTGTAAAAATTACATTTAATTTTTTTTAAATTCTTAAAATGAATAATTTTTTTAGGAAAAAATTTTGTTAAAAAAACAAAATCATTTTATTATTCTATAAATTTTTTATTTTATTTTTGAATACTGTACAAATTTCTCGATTTATTCATGCGTTTCATTTTCCTATTATTTTACTTTTAAAATTATGATTTTATTGAGTGATTCCGGATAAATGATTCCGGATGAAAAATCACAGAACGAATGGATACATTATAAAAGTTTAGGGACGTTCATTTCAAACAATGAATACGTTAATAAAATATTATCAAGAACATAATTTGGAAATACACGGAACTGATTCGTTGTTTTTGAAAAGACCAATCAAGAAAGGAAGATTTGAACTGAATCATTCTGATATTAAAATTATGAAAAAGGTTAGAAAAAAAAAGTTTTTTTTCCTTACTAATAATTTAGAAAGAAAATAAATTATTTAAAGTTGGAAAAAAAAAATTTTAACTATTCATTCAATGGTTGGTTAAACAATGAATATAATTAACAAAAAAAAAAAATAGAGTATCAATTATAAATTAATTATTACAGATTGGTTATGGAGCATATGGTACAGTATATAAAGGTGTATTACTTAAAAATCTTTGTCCAGTAGCAATCAAACGAATTGATTGCGCTGATAAATCAGAGCAAGCATTAATTGATCTGATGAAAGAAGCACGTGTAATGCAATTATATGATCATATCAATGTTGTCAAATTTTATGGTTTTATTGTAGATCGTGAACCATTTTTACTCGTTATGGAATACTGTAAAGTATGTTGCTTAGTAATTTGTTACAAACATAAAGTATAGAAAATATTGATTTTTTTTTTTTATTTAGAATCCTATAAATTGCATTTTTAGAAAAAAAAAAGGAAAAGGAAAAGTAGTAATTGAAATAGGTTAAAAAATTTGTTTTTTTTTCCATATTGACTTTTTTTTTTTTTTTGGAATGCATAAAACGATTTTTTTTTAGGATGGATCAGTGGAAGATAAATTACGACAATATGGCCATCATTTAAGTATTGAGTCACGTATCGATATAGCATGTCAAATTGCCCGTGGTCTTGAATATCTTCATTTGAAAGGTTGCATTCATCGGTAAGGCAAAAAAAAAAAGTAAAACAAAAAACAGTATTCAGTAATAAAAAATTAAAGTAATTAAAGTAATACAATATAAAGTTAGGCAAAATAAAATGAAATTAATTAAAGCAATGCAAAAACAACAATTTTGATTTTAGAATTAATCTTTACCATTTAAATTTTATTGAAATTTAGATTTTTTTTTCAATTATAATAATTTTTTTTTCCGCAAATGCGAAGTTTTTTAATTTTTTTTTCTTTTTTTTTTTTGATATTTTCAGAGATATTGCTACACGTAATTGTCTTCTTAATGGTGCGATTGTTAAATTAGCTGATTTTGGGATGTGTCGAGCAACACTTGTGTATAAAATTGACCTTACAAAACCACAAAATGTTCGCTGGCTTGCACCTGAGGTCAGATATTTGTGAATAATATTTCTCCCACTTTAAAATTCATATTATCAGATCGCATTTAAATTGATTTATTTATTGAACTCGCCAAAAGTTACTAACAAAAATTAAAAATTTTAATCAATTATTTAAATTCGATTCTTCAGCAAAAAAAAAAAAGATGAAAAAAAAGATGAAAAGGCATTATGATAATTTTTCTGAAAAAAATACGATAAACAACGATCGTTTCGAAAGGAGAACAAAATATCCTTTTATTGTAAAAAATATTTTTTTTTGTTCTTCCAACAAAACAAAAAACTTGATTGAAAATTAGTGTCAAATTAAATTAAAAACCATTAATTTACAGGTATGGCGTTCCGGTGAGACAAGATTCTGCACAGATATTTATGCATTTGCAATAACTCTTTGGGAATTGTTTACAATACCGTATACTCATCCATATAGTACTTGGAAAGCGTATAAAGTTAAGGAAAGGGTAATTTAATCAAAATTTAAATTGAATCAGAATTTTCAATCAAATCGAAATAATCAGATAATACTAAATAATTTTTAACATGTATAAATTATACCATATTTCATATGGGTTAAAGTATTCAGAGATTACCATCTCTAACTCTAGATTACAGTAATATGGGCATTTAAGTAAGTGACGTGAAAGTAGAATACGGTAATAATGTAGATGTTGAATTACAAAATGATGAAATCTTGTTTAGAAAAAAGTATGATGAAACATTCATTTTCATGATTAATTAAATAAATTGATTAATGAATATTTTGTAAGGTAATGGCTGGCTATCGTTTGCCAAGTCCAAATGATATGCCTGAATCTATGATAACAATGATGCGACGATGTTGGGATCATGATCCTTCAAAACGACCAACAGCTAAGCAAGCACGGGAATATTTGGAAGATATTTATCGAGTATATTTTCAAATTTTTTGAAATTAATTTAATTTCCAAGAAAACTTTCCACTATTAAAGTTTGATTTATTTTAGAATTTTGTTGCTGAAAAATCAGCTGCTGTTAGCTCCAGCGCTCATACAGCAGTTCTAAATTCGCGAAGTAGCAAACAGCTTTCGTCAAGTGAAGATATTTCATCGAAATCAATTGGTGATATCACGCAATCACGTGATTCAGGAGTTAGAAGGCATAGTTCCTCGGGCTCCAGCGGGAAAACATTTTCCAAAAGTCGAATCTATCGAAGAGGTTCCACGTGATTTCATCTACAGAAATAAATATGACTTATGACTTTCAAAAACAGACACACGTGCACACCACACGTACATGTATACATATAACTTTACAGTAAACAAAAAAAAAAAATGTCAAAACATTATTGATACATTAAACCGAAAATGCTACAATCTCACATATGTTCTTAAACCGGAAATACAAATCATAGAACCGGAACTAATAGGGACATATATGTACATTAGCTACAAACAGCTGTCACATTTTGCTGTTAAGCATTTTGAACAAAATCCTGTCATACTAACGTATCTATTCTCATTTTTCGTTCTCAATAATTAAAGAAGAAAAAAGTGTTTATTGAAGAATACGGACAAAAAATGATTTGTTTAAAACGTCCCGTAATAGATGGATGTAAATTTTACGTAAAAACCGGAAAGGAAAGATTACAATGCTGCCATATTTGCCTCATCGTTTGTTTCTTTCTTGTGCAACTTTTCCCGGAATCGGATTATTCTGCTATGGCAACAACGTATTGTGCGAAAATGCAAGTAATTGAAAAAAAAAAAGTCCAAAAAAAAAGGCAAAAGAAAAAGATAAACAAAGAAAGATAGTTTGCACAACTTCATCATGGAATTATGTACCGGTTTATTGATCCATATGTACCGGTTTGTTGATCCATATATACCGGTTTATTATGTACCTGTTTATTGATCCATACATTGAAAAAAACAAAAGAAAAAAATAACTTAAATTGAAAAATAAATAACCAAACAGATTTCCTTTTGAATCCATCTTGATGACAAAATTACTAATTAAGACTCCAAGTGTCTTAAGTAATTAAGTAATAATTTTTTTAGTAAACAAAAGATGAAATGAAAATTTGGAATTAACAAATGGTTCAAATCAAGATAACTATTCGAAAAATGAAAAAGAAAATAAAAGATGGAATGGAATATTTTTGTGATACTTATCGAAGAGAAAAAAAAAACTATCAGAGGGTTGAAAATCAGTTTAAATTTGATATAAATTTGTTTAAATACGGGAAGAAGAAAGGAAGAAAGAAGAAACGAAAGATCATATCATATAATGAAATCGTCCAAAATATATTTGAATAATTTTCCGATAACATTTTCATATGTCAGTGATGCTCCATTAAACAAAATATGCAAATTTTAACCTTACTTTGAAAAGTAGGAGAAAAAATGCAAAATTATCATATTTTACAGAATTCTCCACAAAACTAAAATGCAAAATTGGATTGTGGGAATCAAGTTTTGACTAATGTTTGAATATTTCGATTATTGCATTGCTCATTTTAAAAAGAAAAAGATCATTTCCGTATTAAATTTTAGTTTCAATTGAGAAAATGGAAATTGGAAATTATAAATGAATGAAAAAATTGTGATTTATTAATGCCTAGCGGTCCTTTCATATTCTTGTTTTTGCAGATATATTTGAGGAAATCGTAGGCAATCATTATTATTATTACCTATTTGATCTGCAACATTACCTTGCGTTTATTTCTAGACTTACGTTAGTGCGTAGTCTTACGTTAAATTATTTTCATACAGTTCATTTTTAGACTTACATCCACTTTTTCCAAAATTTCGTAGATAATCTGAATTATATGGCAAAACGTAACCTTTAACCTTTTCTCGGCTCTTTAAATCACACAACAACATGATAAAATGGATAGTTGAATTTTCATAACGATCCCGGAAATACGAAACATACATTATTGTTGCCTGATGGTCTGAACATGGTAGCGTTGATTGCGAAGTTTCACGATTGTTTGTCATCTTATTCATTTTGTTTTTGAGTGGTATGTTCATTTCCTGATCGTATTCTTACGCATACAATTCGTTTCTCCACTTTCGCAACTTAGTATAGATTCTGTTTTTTTGTTTCCCGATTTAACACATATTTCAACGTAAGAACGACGTGAAAATGTAAACTTTAAAAAGAAAGCAGAAGATTCTGAAAAAGGAAAACGATCAGTTGGTCAATGAAAAAGAAGTTCAAATTAAACGCCGGAAGACAAACAACGCTTGATTACTTTTGGAAACCACTCGATTCTTATCACGAATCCGGTAATGAATCAAGTGAAATTCCTGATGAAAAGGTTTGTTTATCTTTGCAAGTCTGTGAAGAGGATGATTTTTTGATGGGTTAGAAGCAAGTAGTTCTCCGTACAAAAATTAAATTGACCATAGATAACTCTGTTCGTGAATTTATCAGTGAGCGATCTGCAACTGTTCTATACGCATTCTTAGATCACATCTAATAAATTTGTTTTACTGCATAATTCGGTAATTGAGAACCCCGTAATTTTAACCAAAAAGGTTTATTCAGAAATTTTGCTGAGTTTAAGGAATAATCGAATAAGTAGTACTGAATTCATTCCACTTTTGCAGACATTAAATACCAGTTCACCATTAAATGAACCAAGTTGTGAAGCAGAATTGATGGATTCGTTTGGAGCATGTCCACCTTCACCCCACAAACCACTGAAAATTCGGAAGTGTTCCTCTGTTAGTGCTCCGGGAAAAATGGATGAGTAAGCATATTTTTTATATACTGAAGAAAATGAAGCACTTTGAGCAACAAAAAAAAATCTGGATTTGGGGATTTTAATTGTGGCTTTGCCTCAGATTAGACGAGATCTGAATAAGAATGCTTGCAATAATATCTTTTAACTTTTAGAGCATTTTTTTGTTGTTGTTCCCCATTTGTAAATGTTTTGGGAAAAAATTTAAACACTGCTATTACTTACCTGCATTAGATGTGTGAATTCATATAGTCAAATAATTTATTAGTTGCTGTGATGAACTTTTCATCTTAATTCTTTTATCTTATCTCTTGTTTTCAGACATTTTGCGACCGCTGATATGATTTACAACAAAAATGAAAATAAAGCGGTGAATAGCCTTTTTTGATTTTCTTTCATTACAATCAAGAACTGTTAGAAAATTTTTCTTTATGCTGGATTTTAAAAGGAAGTGTTAAGCAGTCGTTTGAATTTTTTTGATTGTTTGTAGTTTTTCACTCATTTATGACTTACGGACGACTCATTTATTTTTTCTATAATTTGTTGTTTTTCGAAACGCTGATTTTTTCAGGATAACAGAACCGATAAACCAACTTTTGCTGAATCCGGCAACTTGCTGGATGGTGTACCTCTCGTTGCTAAATCACCACCAAGCGACACAGAAGCCTCATTACCTGTAACTGGAAGTACACCAGATGGTTCATCAAGATATGATTTGGGTGCTTGCAGTTCATCCAGCTTGGTGAATTCGCTTGCCTCTAGCGATTCAGCACCTTGAAAAATCCCATGAATAATTTTTATTCAGAATTTCATTTCGTTTTTGAATCTTTTTTATGATTTTTCCATTAGTTTAGTTTGAAGCTAAACTAAATCAACAAACTCAGTTTCGCAGTTTGATAAAGGTAATTGGAATAACTGCAGGAAAATCGGAGTCCATCAAAGAAAGGACCATGCAAACCTCACCATTATTTGCAAGGCGAACGACTTAAGTGTGTGAGAAATTCGAGGAGGAAGCGGGTACACAAGGAATCTCACAAAGCTGTAAGTTTCATACATAAAGTTATAGCAGATACATTCACTATGAATAACACTGTCTTCTAATATTAATTGAGGGTCGGATATAACTTTGCACTGAACTATGCAAAATTTGCTTTATAAGACTTCAGACCATCTTTTTTTGTTCATTCATCAATTATTCTGTCTAAAGCTAAATGTTGTGATGGTTTGGAGAATTTGAGGTTCTTGAAAAAGTGGAGGTTTTCAATCTAGAATTGTTTCTATATTTATTTCCCGATTATTTCTATTTTCAGAATTTATCTCACGAATTAGTTCTTCCGCGGATACACACGATAACAATTGGTGATTTTGAACTGGAGCCACCGTATACCTCTCCGTTACCGTTAGAGCTTGTTAGGAAAGGGCACCTTTACGTTTGTGAAAAATGCCTAGATTTCAAAGAAAGCAAAGAGACACTGGAAAGACATGCAGTTAATTGTTTTCTTTTCTTGCTGTTGAATTTGTTTCATTTGAATTATTTGTACTAGTTAACTGGAATATAAATCTCATCTTTTCTTGTTTGTTATGTGGACGTATAGTCTAATGTACTGGGCCAGAGCAGATTTTACTTTGCTGAAAATTGCAGAGTAAATGTTGGATGGATTTTCCGCCGGGTGATGAAGTATTTCGTCAAGACGATATTTCGCTATTCGAAGTAATTTTTTCATTCCATCCGAAGCAGAGAATACTCATGGCAGTTTGGGAACGGCAGCGGCTGGGTAGGGTCACGGTGATACACTTATTTCAGAAGCTAGAAGCAAATCGAAAAGACACGCCACATGTTAGCTGACAAAATGACTCCTAGCCAATGTCTAACTAAAAAATGGATTGAGGGAATAGATTTATGACGATTGTCGTCGTGATCCTGCTTTTGGATTTCACGTCTATATAGATTTTTGATTTCAGGTTGATGGAAATATTGCCAAAGGCTATAGTCAAAATTTATGCCTCTTAGCCAAGCTTTTCATCGATCATAAGGCGTTATTTTATGATGTCGAACCATTTCTTTTTTATGTTTTAACCGTGTGGAATTCAACTGGCTGTCATCTAGCAGGTTATTTTAGCAAGGTTAGGAGATACTAGTGTTAAAGATTGAGTTTTTCTTGGTTTATTATTTGTTAAATGAGTTTTCCTTGGTTCATTGTTTGAGCTTCAAGTTTATTATCATATATCAAGCGTTTATAGAAATTTTGTTAAGTAACGAATAGAGCTGTAAATTTTCGTTTTCCAAATACACATAAGTTTTTGTATTTCTTAGCAAATTTACATAATATTTAGTATTTTGTAAGTAAACTAGATATACTGGAATAAACAGAATATTTTCAGGCAAAATAAGTGTTTTATAAATAGAATTTTTCTTTTTCAGCAGAAGTGCAGCTTAGAGAATAATCTTTCTTGCTTGCTTACTCTACCATCATATCAGAACAAAGGTTATGGACGTTTTTTGATCGATTTCAGTAAGTTTCGTTTTTATTTTGTAAGTTTCGATTTCGAGTTTTTGCGCACTAACTTTCTGTATTTGCCGTTTATTTTCGGGCTCAAATAATGTTGGGAGCTTCAAATCAGGGATCGGTTTTTCTTTGTCAGTAAATACTGATAAATTTATTTCACTTTGATTTATTATCAATTGCTCATTTATTTCATTATTCCTCCAGGTTTTCTTTTGTCTCGACGAGAAGGAACAACGGGAACACCGGAACGGCCACTTTCTGATATGGGTAATTTAGCTTATAGGAGCTACTGGCGTAGTGTTGTGCTTGAATATTTCAAAAGACCAAGCTGTGCTTCTGTTGCAGTTCTAACGTTTGGGGGTTAGCGCTTTAACCTTCATTTTTTTTAAGTTTCTGATGTAAAGATAAAGCATCACCTTCACTTTTCCTACCGTGGAGAGGAATTTCAGCAATTTCTTAAATGTCTGTATTAAAATATTATTATAGATGTTGCAAAAACCACGGGTGTTTCAGTAGAAGATATTGTACAGACGATGAAAGATCTAGGAATGCTTCATTTCGATCAGAAGGGAGAAATGTATGTCATTCTCCAGATTATTTTGGCGGTCACGTCCTGTGTATTTACTTTGCGCATTGCTTTATCATATATTACTGTATTCATTGTATTCTATGCAAATACTTTTTTCAAATGTTTCTTGATTGGGGGAAGTACAGAACTTTATAGATGTTAATGGATAATATGTATTGCTGGATGAATTAATGGATAATATGTATTGCTGGATGAACCCAAATATCAAACGGCTTCATAGAATTTCTTCATATTTTATCAGAATATATCATACAAACTCATTGAATGGCTGGCTTACCTCGTTGCTGTAGAGCGCTACATTTTGTTTTTTCAGAGAGTCTTTCGTCATCAATAAGGATCTCGTAGAATCACATTGGGCAAAAGCGGAAAATGACACGAAGCGTATTTGGATCGACGAAGACAATTTAAAAGTTAGTGTATGATTTCAAGTAATTGACAACTGCTTCTGAAAAAGAAAAAAATGAACAATTTAAGTAATATTGGTAGCAATTTGGGAATACCGAAATACGACTAGAAGTTCCAGAAACTCTGGGCAAGCCAAACAGATAGTGCCAGATTAGTTAATTAAAATCATTAATGAGATTCACAGTTCACTGGAAATTTCTAAGCAAAGTGGTTGTTGAACAGCTGCCTCATCTATGTCAATTTAAAAAACATTGAATTTGCAAATTGTCTTAGTTTTGTTTAGGACCTGATTTAAGTTTGGTCGGGATTTTTGATATGGGTGGCACATTTTCCCGATTTCAGTAACAGTTCTCTGGTAGTATTAAATGACGATGTTTCGTTATGTTAACTGTTTTATGGAGTTTGATTGTTTAATTAGCAATTTCAATTTAGTGGCAGCCGAAGCAATTTCCCTTGGAGTGTACCAGTGATGAAAGTAATGGGACTTGAAAGTTCTTCGAATCGGACTATTTTTTTATGCCAGTTGTTGCCTTTCCATATTTTTGATTTTGAAGCATTATTTACAAATTTAGTTTTTTTTCGATAGATAAAAATGGTCTTATGAAAAAAGTGTGGTGGATCTCGGACTTATTATAGTTAGATGTTGTCTCAGTTTCATTTTAAGCTAAATTGTAATTTAAAGCATTTACTTCTAACTCATTTGGACGTGTTTCTCTTCGCTTTTTGTGTTGTACTTATTCAGTTTTCTGATTTTATACATATAAACTTTTTTGCTTAAATTTTTACGATAGTGTATAATGTATTCAAGTCAGACATCAACTTTTTAGACTTCCAATATATGATGGTCTTCTGCATTAAGTGCATAACACTTTTTGTGAATTTCAGGTGTATAATTGGATATTTCAGAAATCATTCTGGAAAAATTTATGAAAATTGATTCGAAAAATATATCAAACATCTTTTTATTGAAAAAATTTTTAGTGATTCTTTCATTATTAGTCCTTGAATTATCATTATGTGGACGACTTTATCCTTTAGGAAGAATTACATAATTTCTTATGAGCTTTCGATCACTGTTCAGAATTGTATCTCTGTTACTGTTATTGTTCTTACCTCAGCTCATCAAATAATTAATTGATCATCAGTGTCACTTGAAATGAAAGCGTGGATAGCGGGACTGAAAAGAGGGAACACGGGTTGGCAAAAAGAAGGCTATCGTAAGGTAGGACAAAAGATGAAGTAAACTTGCTGAACTTGAATGAATTTTATTTATTAGATTAACAGATAAGTTCTTCCTCTCTGCCTTTTCCTCTTTCTTCTCACTATTCTAAGAATGCTCACATTTCTGATGAATTATCCGAAGATGAGGCGGAATGATTCAATCATCCGTTGCATGATGTTAACAATGGAAACGATCGATGTCACAAGCAATGGAAAAGTTGAGATGATAATAATCGAATGGAATAAATATAGAGGAAGAATATTTGTTGAAAGGTCAGTCACGTTTGGTGCAAATTTGTTTACAGGAATTCTGATTCATGTACTTTGAAATATGTACTAATTTATTGGATTCTAAAAAAATCGCTGGTTTTTTTAAAAACTCCCGCAGAAACTTTATACCTTTTTTTTTGCATAATATTGCCGTTACTATTACTGTCGCTTACACTCTTGTAAAATATTCACTGTGATGGTCTATTTTCGCGGTTATTTGCAAATCGATTATTATTTTAGTTGTTATATGTTTGTTTTATATCTCACATTCTTCTTGCTCATTTAATTCAGTTCAATTCAAAAAAATTAAAAGTTTTCCAGAGATAAATTGATTACCACTTAAAATGTTTATAATAATGCAATATTGTTGACGAAGTAGATTACTCATATTTAATGTTCCACGTTATATTAACTCATGGGGAGTTTCCAAATCAAATATTTCATTATTACCTGTAAGAATAATTTACAAACGAAACGGAAAAAAAGATTCAAACAAACAGAATGAAATATGACAGATCAGTTGATCTCAAATCTTCCTTCACTTTTTTTTTATTCGATTTAATCTTTTGAGAAGCTAGACCGGAAGGTTGATTAGGCGAATTTTTGAATCCGAATAAAGAAAGACATCAATTGTTTTTTCATTTAATTGGTCTAAGCTTCGCATAATTCATTGTGACGTTCATTGTGACGAAAATTTTATATCTATAGGAATAGCAGAAGAATTTATGCGTTCCAGAAAAAGTAATGCAGTATGGCTATAAACGGTAAAACGGTGAAATGTTTTTGGGATTGGTTTTTTTTGGGGGAGTTGGTAGTTTATTTCGATATAAATTCAACTAGATTGACACTAGATCAGATGAGCGCATACGATCATTGGTTTCTAAGACTTCTTCAATTTGTTAGCTTTTTTAATTCGGTGATGTGGGTGTAGGGGAGTTCTTATAGATTCGAAAAACTTTAATTTTAATGAAGTTCATAAACACCTAGGGTGTGGCATCGGTGGTTCAGTGGTAGAATGCTCGCCTGCCACGCGGGCGGCCCGGGTTCGATTCCCGGCCGATGCAGCGCTTTTTTGTTCCCTTTTTGAAATTCTGTTTTTTTTTGAAATTATTGAAATTATAGTCTTATTTGAATTATATATATGTATAATTAGTTGGGAATTGTAAACTTTGGCTTTGTATTGTTGTACTGTATGAATAACATTATCATTTATCTGCCTTTTTCTAATTATTTTACTGGGAAAAAGAAAAGAGACATTGATGCATAAGTAATTAATGAGCAGATAAATAGAGAAGCTGTTTGATTATTTTCTGGTTATTTGTAAAATCATTAGTTGTCGGAAAGCAGTGACAACATGATACAAGGTTATTAAAAAATTGAGAAATCATCTTGATAATAGTGCTACTTGCAATTTTATGCTCCATTCAACTTTAATTTAACTATCCTTTATACTTCTCAATAGCGTTTAAATTAACAAAATATTATTTACAACAAATAATTCCGAAAGTAGACATGCATGTGTAATTTCAATTTACTAATTATCATGAACTGATTAATAGTTTTTTCTCTCAAATGTTGATAATTGTTCCCTCATTTCGTATAAGCATTATCTGAAGAGGAGTTGAATTCTAAATTGCTATGATTGGGATGTTAAAGAAGATTGATAAATCATGCTAGATTCATCAATTCTAAACTAATTACTAGCTTTTTTTCTTAAAATTTTAATTAAAATGCGAAATATTCAACGGGGATGAAATATGGCTGAAAAAAAAAGCGAGTTTCAAATTAAATTTAATCATCTTTCGAATATGCTATTAAATAGGGTTAAAAATATCCATAAGTTAGCTTATGTTAATATCAAATTGTATTCATCCATAAATATCACTTGGAAATTTATTCTATCACCAATTCACATTATTTGTCAAATAAGAATAGAACAGTGATTTTGCATGAATTATTGTCAAAGTAGTATTGGATAAGTTCAGCATTTTTCAAAAAATTTGCATAATTTATGTTATCAAAGTAATCATATCATGTTGCATAAAATTTCGTCTGCTAATTAATCACTCATTATGTGACAAAGGATAGTAGAATTATCAAACTTATTAATGCTTTTGTAGCAAAATCGATGTTTGAAAAGAAAGGAAACAAGAAAAACTACCAATTTACTATCATTTGACAGAAATTGGCCAAGTTTTATTTTGGATAAAACGTAAATCAATCAGTCACAGTCTTTTTGAATTTTAACACATTTCAAGTTCACTCACTTTAATGGCCAATTTCTTTCGAAAATTTTAAAAGATTT